AGTCCGTTGAAGCACACAAGTGTTTTTATTTTGTTCGGTCATCTATTGGGTTAATGGGGGACTAAGTTGCACAGTAGGACCTCTTTGTTTGAAGGATTGTTATAACATGAAGTTTCTAAACATTCCATATCGAAGGATCGCATTATTAAGGCATTGTTTATTAGAATGATTTTCTTTTCACTTTTTTTTCTCTTTTTTTTAGGTGAAAAGCGGATCCATGACTCACTTTTTGCATGGTACTAAAGTTTATTATTGAAAGTTCGAAACCATCAAGATCATGCAATAAAAATACGCAAAATCAAAACAATCATTTCAAATAAAACCAAGTCAAGGCAGTGCTTAGACTTTACGTAGAGAGGCAATTGGTAAGTTACGTTGTCCCGTACTACCGAACTGATGTACCGTCAGGGTACACACGGGCCTTGACCTGAAACCATAATCATGTTATAACACCAGTGCTATTATTCTTTTGGTCACATCATATATGACCCTACAAAATAGAAACACCTTTCATGTGTATAAATGAACTCACGTATAATAGTACATGGCCTATTAAAGAAGTGGCCTTTTTGTATATTGTTATTATAGGATAGGAGGACAACATCCAAAACAAAATTAAAATTTTTCTGGTGAGAGGAGTGGTTTTTGTAATTTATGAGAAAAATATTACCAAATGATGCCCGTCATACCTAGAAAAGTCTCTTTATCAAGCAATTTATACCATAAAAATAACTTTCACATGAAAAAGTAATTCACATGACAACAGGAAATTGCTTATCGGATTGGGAATTTAGTTCGTGTTTTAGTTCTAGATTTTAGTTTATCTAGAACTAAAATTTTTCTTTTTCTTTTAATTTATCTAATTTGTTTTTTTTCCTTTTTCTTTTAGTATATCTAAAAAGAATTAAGGCCACCAAAAATCACCCCCTACCCTATTTTTTATTTTTTTAATATTCTCCCTATTTCTTTTAGTTTATTTTTTTAGTTTGTTTTTTCTTTTAGTTTATTTTTCTTTGAATTTATTTTATTTTTATATTTTCTAGATCAGCAATCAAAACTAATCACGATAGAATGCCGACATGTGGGGTTAAATGAACCCCACCACATAGCCTTTCATGGGAATTTGGTTTAATCCCCTCTCTATATAGCTAACCCTTCATGGGAATTTGGGTTAATCCCCCCCTCTATATTGTAATGATGGTGGCCTTGCTTTTGGAGTACCACATACCATGCACCCATTTAAATGCTTCTTTGTCGGAATTTGGAGCACTTACCTTTACTTTAGAAGTTTGGGTGAATTTCCTATTATTTTTCTTGGTTTTTTTATTGACACTTGCAACAGTCAAAGTGGGCTCACTTCCTTTTAACTTTATGATTTTTTTCTTTGTTTGGATGAGCTTATAACAAAAGAGAAAATAAAAATGAAAAAGGTGGCGGCGTGGTAGGGTTCGTGGTCTAGATCAGGTCCTTTTTCTAGTCTCATTTCAGTAAAATAAAAGAAAGTTCCTCTGTTTGTGTGAGTATGGGCCGGGCTTTATGTAAGCTAGGATTAGAGCAAGAGCTGGCCTGTACTTCCTCATTTCTTTTTTTACACGAAAGAGCAAATTTAACAAGAGTAGTAGAAATAGAAGAAGAAGAGGAGGAATTATAGAGAAATTTGTTCACAAGTGAAGCTTCCATGTAAGACATGCAACCACCCTCACTGACGTTGTCTCGCTTGCATAAGCACCTTCATAGGGAATGAAGCCCGAGGCCACTATTCCGCGTTTTTTCCGTGTGTTTTTCCGCGTGGAGCCTGAGGCCACTATTCCGCTTTAGGTGGCCCTAGCCTGCAAGTAAAGGTGTACGTGGAGCCTGAGGCCACTATTCGGCGTTAGGTGGACCTAGCCTGCAAGTAAAGGTGTGCATGATGGCCTTGATCCACATATATGAAACACACAAGCTCAACAAGGGCTGGGACCGTCATGCCTGAATACACATGAGGGGTAGTACCATAATCCTGTGCCCCAAAAAATAAATTTCAAGCTCGGCCCGGTTCCGGTCAGCAATCTTGTCTACAAGGCTCAAAACAAAAAATCGGGCCAGGCGAAGCCAGGCCTTTTATAAATGCAGGTAAATTTTTATTCTAGGAAACATATGAAAAAAGTTAGGTATGGAAAGTACACCAGGCCTACCAAAAGCCCAGCCCATGCCCTCAATCCCAAAACCCTACAGGCCGTGCTGGCCTGTTAACACACGACTACACGAGCGGGCCTTATGGGCCCACATGGTGGGGCTTGTACACCCCGTGAGGCCAGGTTTTGCGGGGCAGGGGGGATTGTTCACTTCAGTTGTCATTTCATGCATAAAATCAACCAATAATGTAGAGACCCACCGAGAATGCTCTCCAATGTGAATTTTAGATCGAAAACATATCTTTGAAATATATTTTATAAGGAGACCATACAAAAATAGTTTGAGTCTGCCGACTCACCAAACACTTTTCCTTACTAAAAAAAAGACAATGTTTTTATGAGTAGGAAGCAATGAGTCCTTTTTAAAAAATCTATTTTTGAGATGGATCTTTGGACTTAATTTATAAGGACTTAGTAATCTCTAACATAGAGATTGAAGAATTCACAAAAAAGGACCACCGATTTGCATCCATCTTTAAGATGGGTGTTTTATACCTCGGGGATGCAAATGTAGAAATGCGTCTCCTGAAATAATTTTCCTAAAAAAAAATTAGAAAAAGAAGAAACATTTCTCTTGTCCTTTTGACTATTTCATTTGCTGTACGAGCTCATGGGACTTCTTTTCTCACCAAGTATCTCAAGAACCAAATAAAAATAGTCCTCTCCCTTTTTCTTTTTTTTTTAAAAAAAATAATAATAGTCCTCTCCCTCACTAATTTAAATGATGACGTAAGCCCTAGATACCAATTAGACGGCCATCGACGGTTTAGAGGTGGGCTCCTTTTGTCATTTCTCGTGGAGCATCACGTTAGAATCTATGAGAAGCCACTGTCTCTTAGTGCTCCACTTCCATGATAATAATACATGAAGAAAACTTTATTTTATAACTATGTGAAAAAAAAATATTTTTTATACTCTATTTTACTAAATGATCATAATGCCTTTGATTTGGTCAACTTTAATGACAAGCCTAATTCCACTTAAAATAGAGGGAAAATAAGATCCTTCTTTGTTTTGTAATTTTCAAAATGACCATAATGCCGTTATCCTTTTTTTGTTTGTAATTTTTTAAATGACCATAACATCCTTGGTTTGGTTTTATATTTTATATTCCAAAATGACTGTAACCTTTTTATCAAAGTAAATGAATGTACGCTTTTTCTTTCTGTATGTTTTTGTTAGGAAAAGTCTTAAAAACACATATAGGCGAATTGTTACAATATTTTGCCTCCGTCACGAGCTTGCTATGTTTATGATGGTTTTTCCTAAAAACTGCTAAGGATCTATGGAGTCATGGCGGTCCTCATATATGTTTTACGTAAATTTTGCGTGAAAAAAAATCTCGTCGTAGACATGCTATATCTGTGATGGACCGCCACAGACATGCTATGTCCATGCGGTCTTTAATCCACGGCAACTAAAAAAATCGGACGTTGCCAAGCCTATGGGCAAAAATACTGTTCATTTTCACCTATAGGCGTTGTGTAGTCTCTTATTTTTTTTATCAATGTGAATTAATAGAGAAATTATGTTGAGAGAGTAGATGATGAGAGGAAATTAACAGAAAAGAAGGGGCGATTTGGATCCTCGGAAAAACCTCTTATGAAAAATCTATTTTCTACGAAATCCATTTCGTGTGAAATATATTTCCTGGAAAATAGGGTTTAGCTATTGGGACATCCTTTAGATGCACCATGGGATTCTCTAGTATTAAATATATTTGGGCAAAGTCTACAAATAGACCATTTATTTTAGTATAAAAAGGTCACATCTATTATTGTCAATCAAATTTCAAATCAAGTGATTATAAATGTACTTGTGACTAAACTCAATGCCCAACAATAAATTTTTTGAACTTTATAACACTCCAAGTCATCCAATTGGATATTTAATAGTTAAGATTAATTATGACATTCTTGTATTAAAGATAAATGGTCTCATGATATACAATTCCATATAGTGGCCCCTCAAATTGAATATTATTTCGAAAAATTGCATCTAAATCAAAAGTTCATCGAGCAAAAAACGTGGAATAGTGGCCTCGGGCGTCATTCCCTATGAAGGTGCTTATGCAAGCGAGAGAACGTCAGTGAGGGTGGTTGCATGCCTTACAGGGAAGCTTCACTCGTCAACAAATTTCTCTATAATTCCTCCTCTTCTTCTTCTATTTCTACTATTGTTTAATTTGCTCTTTCCTGTAAAAAAAAATGAGGAAGTACAGGCCAGCTCTTGCGGTAATCTTGTATCAAAGCTTTTTGCTAGTCTAGATCAAAGCTTTTGTGAGTATGGGCCGGGCTTTAACTTTCCTTTCGTGGTCTAGATCAGGTTTTGCTGTGTAATTTTGAGACCTAAATTCTTTCGTACATTTTATAAAATTAAAATTTTCCTGGTTTGGCTTGACCCGATTTTTTGTTACGGACCTAGTAGACAAGATTGCAGACCGGACCCAGGTCGGGCTTGAAATTTATTTTTTTGGCGGCCAGACTTCTGGGCCTACCTTTCATGTGTATTGAGGCATGGCGGGGCCCAGTCATAGTTGAGCTTGTGAGTTTCATGTGTGTGGATGGAGGCCATCGCGCACACCTTTGCTGGCAAGTTGATTCCGCCTACCGCGGAGCAAAAAAAAGAAAGAAAGGAAGGTTAATAAGTGTGGAAGGAAAGAAGAGAGGAGGAGACAATGTGCAAGGTGGTCCCCCTCCCCCCAAACACCCATGAGGGTGCATAAGCAAGGAGAAAACGTCATTGTCTATGAGGAAGGTTGCATGGCATATGAATGAGCGTCGGAGCTTCAGTTTTTCATAACAAATTTCTCTGTAATTCTTCTTCTTCACCTTTTTCTACTACTCTTGTTTAATTTTCTCTTTCTTGGAAATTTTAGAAGAAAGGGAAAATGAGGAAGTATGGACCAGCTCTTGCGCTAATCTTGTTTCAGAGCGGTTTTGCTGTGATGGTTATCCTCATCAAAGTAGCATTTCGGCGAGGGATGAGCCCTACCATCTTTGTTACCTATAGGCAGTTAATTGCCACCCTCTCTATTGCGCCTTTTGCTTACTTCCTAGAAAGGTACTCTCTCTCTCTCAATATTATCCTTGGAATTATGCAGGAAAACCAGACCTCCCCTGTGCCTGAAAACAGTGGCTCACATCTTCGTAATTGGACTAATGGGGTGAGCACCTTCAAAACTCTAATTGTGTTCCTCACATTCATTTCTGACAATCACAAGCATTCATATATCATTATACTTCCATTGCAGGGTTCCTCTTCTCCAAATATCATACTTTTATGGGCTTTCTTACACTTCATCAACTTTTGCAGTCGCAATATTGAATCTCCTACCGGCTATTACTTTTGTATTGGCCATTATCATAAGGTACTAGAGACCCTCACTATAATTTAGTCACTAATGTTTTGCTTTTTCTCCCTTTAACATGCCAATAACTCGCACTTTGTTACCCTTTCACCTAAAACATTGTAAACTATTCATCTTTTAGAATGGAGAAAGTAAATGCAAGGAATACAAGGGGACAAGCAAAGATTGTGGGTACCATAACTTGTGTTGAAGGCGCCACGATCATGACATTGATTAAAGGTCCTACACTGGGGTTTCTTGATTTTCTCAAGAAACCCACACCTCTTTCCCGCCTCTTGAATGCCACTCCAGGCATTACTCCAAAAGACAATTGGACCTTGGGTCCAATTTTAATAATTTTGGCCGTCATTTCATATGGTGCATGGTTGCTTTATCAGGTAATCCCAACATTCTAGTTATTGACTGTTTGGTTTTCCGGGGAAAATATCATTTAAGGTGTAGAAATCCTTTATAAAATCATTACGAAGTTCAAAAGAAATCGATAAATATGAGAGCATTACTTTTAAATTTTTATTTTACTCAGAAAACCTTGAAGAAGAAATGG